TGGCTTGATGAACAAATAATGAAAGTAATAAAGTGGGACTATCTCTTCCTTGAATGAACTGCAAGTAGTAAAGAGAAATCACATTTATAGAACATAATAAAGAAAATGTCTCAAGAACTCCAGTGCAACAAGCATTCTCACAAGCAGACCTCAGCCAAAGGAATTAACTAGCGTTAATTCCGATTGCTTGGAAATGAATGAAAATTCTAACATTCATGAAGCTTGGTGGAATGGCACATCCTTTCGGTGTAAAGTCAAAGTATTCTATAAAGAAAATAATTTGCACTGAGAAAGCTGCTGTGGGGTTCATTAAGCTATGGGATACATTTTTTATTCATCACCTTCATATCCTTGGCCAAATGCTTACTAGACACACAAAGAAACAGTGAAATTTTTTTTAAAAGTAATTTTAACAAATGGGCTTCATCAGAAGTAAAAATTACTCATCTAGTAAAGGAAATAAATTACCTTTCTAAAATCTTCCCACCTCTTTTATCGACAGACAAATCAAATATACCCCATCACGAAAAAAAACCCAATTTTCCAATTATCTTGGATTATCATTAAATATTTCCTAAAATCACTTAGAATATAGTTTACTTTTTAAAAATTTTTACTACTTTATTTATATTAATTTAGCAGTTTAGAAATAAAGTCTTCATCTAGACTAGGCACTTTAAAACTAATTTGCAAATAATAAATAATAAAAATGGTCTGGTACAATAGTTCTCAACCTTTACACCATGTCGCCAGTTTTTCCCAAAGACAACGAAGTCCTAGGGGTAAGACTTCTCATTAGAAGAAGCTTCCTCAAAGGAGAATGATGAATAGGGAGCAGTGTTCCTCCCACCCCCCACCCTTACCTACCACTGGGTATATACTGGTAATACTTGCTAATTTCTAAGACTATGCGAAATCTTTGGTGGAAGCTTCAATTCTGTGTATGTTAGAATTATTACTTTAGTGTGGTGCAAAAGGCTCAAAATGCAACAATTTCTACCAACATAAGCACTTATGTCACTAGAAAAGAAGCCCATTACTGCTCTTATCCTGATAACTCATTTTGGCACTTCCGAACCAAGAAGAATTAAAACTTGCAGGAAATGTTTTTTGTCTTTTTTTCCCCCAAAACTCACTCTGATCATTTTAGGTGAATGAGAAAAAAGCAAAGAAAAGAAAGCAAACAGATAAAATATAGTTGCTAAATGAATCAAGTGGCAGCATGGCAGAGGGCTTTATCCAAGGACTCAGAACAGAAATATGACAAAATTAGAAACTGGGTTATACACTATGGACATGGACATCCTATACCAAAAAAAGGTTGTTTTAAAGTTAAATTCAATAAAGCCCTGTTTTCTAGTATCACAGTGAAAGAGCTGAAATTCCTTAATGGGGAAAAAGGGAAGGAAATCCTTTATTAATTCAGTGGGAAATACCCATTTGTAGTCAAGGAACCGTTTTTGTTTTTCTCCCTGCCTTAACTCAGTGGTGCTAAAGATTTCAAGGAAATAATTTGTGAAAGCACCACAACCCAATGAGTAATTTCACAACTCAGGTGTTACAGTATGATGAATTAATCACTCACTCCTTTAATTTTCTAAAACTTCTTTCTCAAGATTTTTATAAAGCAGCTAATGTCAATGATTCAAGCAGGTTTAAGAAGCAATCTGAAAGGCAATGAAACGAGTGAGTGTGTATATATATATATATACACATATGATATATAATGATCCATGAAATCCAACATCTTATGAAGAAACTGAAGATGCTGCTAACAAAGAAGACATAGGAAGACATTTATTCAAAAGAAGCCAACAAATTTCCAAAAATTCTTTCTGTAGGTAACACCTGATTTGTGCATTTGGTTATTTTTTAGCAGCAAACATGAAACTTTTTTTTTTAAAAAGAAAGATTGGCACCTGAGCTAACATCTGTTGCCAATCTTCTTTTTCTTCCTTCTTCTTCTTCTTCTCCCCAAAGACCCCCAGTACATAGTTGTATGTTCTAGTTGTGAGTGCCTCTGGTTGTGCTATGTGGGACGCCACCTCAGCATGGCCTGATGAGTGGTACCATGCCCATGCCCGGGATGTGAACCGGCGAAATCCTGGGCCACCAGGGCAGAGCGCATGAACTTAACCACTCGGCCACGTGGTGGTCCCTGAAAAATTTTTTTAACAGCGCAATAAATAGGTGGAGTGTGTTCAGTGCTACGAGGAAACACTTCTGCGAGATGTATCTCAGTAGTTGTATGGCTGTTCCATACACTTTCAGAGAAAAATCACACACTAGAAAAAACAAGTTACTTCCTCTTTGTTCTATACACGGGACATCGTACTATGTAAGGCGGCCAGGAAGACGGCTGTGTCTCACCTCTGAGCTAAAATACTTGGAGACGTGATTTCAGGGCTTCTGTGCAGGGGGAGAGAATGAAGCAACTGGTTGAAATGCTAAGGGCAAAAGGAGTGGGCGCTCTCATCCCAAGGCCAACTCAAAAGCTAGAAGCCACCCCCTCACTGTCACATTTGCCCTAACGAACAGGGGAAGAATGGGATTTGTCTAACTGCGTGTACATATTTTGAATTGCATACACATATATCTCTGTTGTGGCGGAAAAGAGAGGTCAAGGTGATAACGGTGGTGAGGGAAAGTTACATCTGAGAAACTCCAAAATTAATATCCCAGAATCACAGAATTTCTAATGACACAGTAGGAAAAGCACAGCTTGGTGTAACAGAAATACCTTATTCAAGTTTGGTGAAAAATCACATCCTTCAGAAAGCTTTAGAAACAACCATTGGCCAAGAATAATTTATGTTGTTCAAAAAGGAAGAAATATTGCCTTTTTCCCCCATTACACTACTAATGTAATATACATGTGGAAGTTGGACAGATAAAACAAACTGGTGACACAGTAAACTTTTATACTCACAAGGCTACCACAGTAGATATATGATGGTAACACAAGATGGCTTTGGAAAAACTGTGAGTAAATGAAAAGTCCTTTGTTTAATGATTGACTCGCCTTTATTGCTCATTCATTGTCCAGTTTGTTACTTTTTTACACGTATTATTTACTTTAAAGGTTTCGTATATTTTATGTTTAATTTTCACAATAATCCTGGCAAAGTAGGTATTATTATTCCTATATCACAGATAAGAAAACTGAGATGCAGAGAGTTGAGCTACCTGCCAGTGAAGGTGCAGAGCTGGGATTTGAACCCAAGCCGCCTTCATGATTCTTGATGGACTTGGGACATCAGCTCTGTTCTTATTACCTAGCAAAGCCAGTACTACTCCAGGGAAAGAAGGATATTTAGGAAGTGCTATGGGCTGAATAGTGCACCCCCCCCAATTCATATCTGGAAGCCTTTACCTCAGTCCTTCAGAAGGTGATTGTATTTGGCGAGGCGGCCTTTAAAGAGGTGATTAAGTTAAACTAAGGCCTTGAGGGTGGGCCCTAATCCACTCTGACTGGTATTCTTGTAAGAAGAGGAAATCTGGATGCACAGACACACCAGGGGCATGCGCCCACAGAGGAAAGACCATTTGAGGCCACAGCGAGAGGGCGGCCACCTGCAAGCCAGGAAGAGAGTCCTCAGAATGAAACGAACCTTCACGACTGACACCCTCACTTTGGACTTCCAGCCTCCAGAACCGTGAGAAAATGAATTTCTGATGTTCCAAGCCACCCGGGCTGGGGTATTTTGTTATGGCGGCCCTGGCAAACTAACATAGGAAGAGAGAAGAAATTGTCCAATGTAGTACCATATAAACACAAATGGTCAAAGTAACGGCAGCTCATCCATTGTTCACAACTGCACTGAGAGTTGTTACAGATTTTGGCTGTGCTGATGTAGCAGAAAAGAGTTCCATTCCTGGGGGCACCAAGGGACTGTGGCTATGTCTGCCAGGCACACCCCTTCCAGTGTGTTCCCCTCATACAACTGTATCTACCTCTTCTCTCTCACAGAAACATGGCTGACATGTCCTCACAATGCCAGATACACGCCCTAACAAGCAAGGTACATGATAAATTAAAAGCATTTCACGGCACGGCCCGGTGCTGCTACCTCAGATCTTGCTAGAATAACATGACATTTATAAAAATACAACCCACTGGATATTTGGCACTGCTTGGGAATGAAGAATATGTCCACTTAAGAGCCAATACCCCAGGCTGTCAAAAAAATCTCAAGCCAGGATTTCTTTTATAAACATTACCTATCTTTTAAAATTCTACAGTCTAGGAAGTGAAGAAAATGTCTCTGCTCCTTTCCAAGTCTCCTTTCGCCTAAATGTAAAAAACATAAACCATACCTAAGAACATGTTAAATGCTCGGTCAAGGCACACTGACTGAACAGCTCTGTGCATCTGGCAGAAAGCCTCAACACTTCCAGCCTTGGCCCTGGGTCACCCTCGCCCCTGACACACACCTATACAGAGCCCACACTCCCCACCAGCACCGGCCACCTCCAATCCCAACGCACACTGAAAGGGGGTATTTACAGATTATTTTTTCAGATACCAGCCAAATAATGTTCCCGTTCAGTCTCTTACCCACCTTAGACCATACAAAATTTAACATCTGGGAGGATAAATGCAGCCCCTAACGCATATGACAAGGGTGAGCAGTCATCAAGGAGTTCTCCTCAAGCAAAGAGGATTTGCCAGCTTCCCTCTGAGGTCCAAGCCCTGAAAGGCCAACTGTGGTATGTTTGAGTTTCCATCGGGCCTGGTGCTGGCTGGCTGCGGCTATGTTCAGTCAGAACCCCACAGCCCAACTGTCCTATAAACATCTCGCCCTTCTGCCGAGAGCGGCTCGCCCAGCCTCACTTCTTGGAGCAGAGAATGTGCTATTTGCGAGCTGCAGGCTGAATGTTAACTAACACTTGGAGCACAGCTGACCCCTCTCTTCGCCAGGCCAGTGACTGCTCTGAAAAAATACGCACATTCACATGAACATAATGAGAACGGGAAGAAAAGTCCAGATTTTCCTCACCATGTGCCACCCAGCCATGTTTACACTGATCGCAAGTCCTCAGGTTAATCTTCCCCGGCTGAAAACACTCACATGTGCAGTTTACCAGTGTGCAACGGATGGCCTGAAAAATAAAGGAGGGAAAAAAATGATCAGCCTCTGTTCAAAGGTACTATATTTCTTCACTATTTTAATAAATAATATCACTGCCATTTTTAAAGGCTTTATGTTGATAGGGGCCCGGAGAGTTTTAAAAATAAATTTTGAAACCATCAAAATCTCTTACAAAAAAAGTGCAAGAAAAAAACCCTCGTTCACAAATAGAATGTCTCATGTTATTTATATGTAACCTTGAAATTAGAAACGTAGACCGAGCAGAGTAAGAATAAAGGATTACATATTCTAAAAGATGCTGGACATCAGGGATCCAAGAGAGAAAAAAGTATTGCTGCTACTATATATTTCCACTTAAGTTTATCCACTTGGCAATAATGCAAAAAGCATATATTCTAATAGAATAATGTTCAAGTGGAATGTTGGTGAAAGTAAAATATGACATATAAATATTATTATTAGAATATTACTTTTCTTCTGCTGAGTTTCATTTAAATGCTTTGTTAATCTTTCAGATACATTTTGAGAGACACTCCCGTTGGCCCAGCATCCTGCTGGTATTATTTATCACTTCCCAATTCCTTGGTTTTTTCCCCCTTGATTTATTAATTCTATTTTCGTTCGTATTTTGAAAAATACAAAACAACCTTCCTTTCATTTTAACGATGATATAAGAAAATGAGTTTAAATTTGTTTTTAGATCAGATGTAGAATAGGAAAACCCATTTATGTGAACATTTTATATCTGGAACAATCCAACCGTATCTTAAAAAACTGGAAAACACACTCAAAAATCTTTCGTTTCTTTACAAGTACTTTAAAAAACTGTCTCACCAGTTTATATTATAAAGTGAATCCATAGGAAATCAGCATAAATGAAGTGTAACTTTTTATGGATAAAAACCTATGCTTAAGAATTGTGCTAAACCTGACCTATGCTCCTAGACTGTAGTTAATAAATTTATCTCATACATTTACTTCTAATTTGCATGGAAATTCTGAACACTGAAGGGGATTTAGTCCGATCATTCACAGATTTAACAATCTACCGTAACTACCTGAACTGCCAGGAAAAGATCTCTCTACAGCTTTAGTCCCAATCAATGACTACTGATGTGGGGAAGGGTGGGTGGAGGGGGAGGCCTGGGGGCTACCTGCAACTGCCATTCCACGCCTGAGAGCTACGCTCGCTCATAGCGCTCCAGATGCTCATATTCCTGGAACCATTTGGATTTTTATATAAACTGTCTCATTTGTAACAGACGGTATTTTAGATATTGTTAACATGGTTGGGCCAAATTCCATTTACAGAGAATAAGACTGAACAGGCTTTTACTGTGCCCTATGCTTTGGATCAGTCAAGTTTAAAATATTTCTCTTTCGTGAACGAACATTAAATCCACAGGTCCCTATTCCGTTTCCGATTAGAGTCCTCACTATGGATTCCTTTCCTACTTCAGCTCCATCCCTAATTTGCTCCTCTATTACCACTAGAGAAATACTCAATTGTATAACCCGCCTGATATTTCAGGGTCTCTCTTCCAATGTCAACAGTCCAATTAGATATTAGGTAGGTTGTAAAACTCTGCTGTATGTATTAATGATTAACGGAATCAGTAAGAAGAAATAAAGACACCAGAGGAAATGCTGACTACATAAGAATAATATATGTATTTGTAGGTTATAAGGGGAAATATTTCTTCCCAAATTTCTTATTTCAACTTCAATAATTTACTGACTGAGCAACAGATCAGATCATCCCAGGTTAGATATAAGTCTTTAAATAACATGCTCATTAGTTAATAAACTCGCAACTTGATTGTACTATGCTCAGAAAACACCAAAACAGTTTAGAGGGCAACATTTCTACTAAAAACAAGGCACTTTACAAACTATCCAATTACAAATTCAGATACGGCAACCACGTTGACATTAAAATATTTATACTATCTGAAGTGTGATAATAAAAGCTTTCATAAATACTAAAAAAAACAAAAAAGCAAAGATTCTACTTTACTGAAATTAAGAGATGACCAATAAAAAGAGATAGTCTCTCAAGGACTATATGTTAACTCTGGCACAAAAGACTTTTTGAATCATTAATTTGATAATATTTAATTATTTTACGAAAATAGCCTGATTTTGCCTCACGTTTATAGCACACTTTTGTCAACTTTAATTATAGCTATATTCAGGACCAGAAGAAATTCAGACTGTAAATTTGCTCTGTTTTTATGTATATTTATTTATTCACTGGTTGAATCATTCATTCACTTTACTCTGAACTAGTTTATGATTCAAATATTTTCTCTTCCTAAATAACTTTTATACATCTGGCACGTTTGGGAATTCAAATTTTCAGATCATCATCCTTTTTTATGAATTCTACTCTTTTTGTACCTAAACATACAAACATTGGAACACCTCAACTCCTTTTATATATAAACACTTAAGAACTGGAATATCCATTTTGTGCTGCTATGAATTCCAGAAGGTCTATTTGTTTTAAATTCAGATTTATATAGACTACAATGGTTCCTTAAGGGAATTATATATATTTAAACAATATGGTCTAAATAAATATTTTGAGTAAGAGACTATTGTGGCTTCAAAGGAAGTTTTATTCTAAATAACATTTTTGAAACAGCATACAACTTTGACATACTATTTATTCACAACAAAATAGAACCAATGTGATCACTTGCCAACTCACCCACACTTTAAAAAACTAAATTATCATAAAACTATCAAAGCCAGTTAAGCCTCAAAAATGTACATGCTTTACAAGGAGACAGTTAGGAAGAGAAGAAACGGATAAACGTTCATTTTTGTGAGCACACTCATTTTTTCCTTCATTCAACTGATGTATGAGGGGCTATCCACTCAATGCTGGGCACTCTGACCTACAGAAAAAGCCAGAGATGATGATGAAGGGGCAGAAAGGGGACACCAGGAAAACAGCAGACAGTTTAGTCGGATTGTTCCCACTTGTCTACGCTGGGATCCTTATGCACATCAAGCTAGCAACCCCACCACGCTGCAGGACCCCAACTCATCCAGAGTTCCCTGTAACTCTTTCCTCCATCCTTACATGACCAGCTTTCCTAACTCCCCACGAACAATAATACAAATTTTCTTAAGCCTGCACTTATTAAAAGTAATTATTCCTTCTGCTTACCTTTACCACAGATTTCTTGCAAGAAAAATCCACGCACCCAGTACCTACTGCTTCTACTTCCTTACCACCACTTACATTTTAATTTTGCAATCTAGATTCTGCCCCACATGTTCCTAAAACTGCTTTTCTCCAAGAGGAATGTTCTCATCACATCTGGCCCCTTTTTCTTGTCTCCTTGTCCTCTCAACCTCGATGCAGCTTGCATCACTAACTCGCCTTCATTCCAGGGCTGTAGAGACCAACTATCCTAGTTTTTCTGGCAGCAACTTCTCACTCACTCTCCACTGTAAATAAATACAGGTGTCTCCCACGGTCAGGCTCTTCGTTCTTTAATTTGGCAACTTCAACCCCTCCTATAGCTTCAAATAACATCACTATGCAAAAACCATCACTTTGGAGCCAAGCGCTGTGTTAAGAGGCAGGAAATGGATGGCAGGGTCCCCATGCTCAAAGACTGGACACAGTTTGTGGGCAAGTAGTTTAGAGATCCTAAGGACAGAAGCAATCCCTTAAACAGGTTTGAGAAGCACCATCTCTCCCTTTTTATTCCTCTGTCTTTGCTTCTACCAAAGGTAGCATTTTTTATTTATCTATTAACAGTAAATTATTACCTGTTACTATTAACAATAACTAGATTTACTGGGTATTTGCGATTTTCCACATACTGTGCTAAAAACTTTACAAATATTAGCTCTCTTAATCCTCAGAAAATATCATGAGGCTGGTACTATTATTACCTTTATTTTGCAAACAAGGAAACTAAGGTAGAGACTATTAAGTATCTTACCTAAAGCCACGCAACTAGTCAAGTCACAGGAACCAGATCTAGGTCTGTGTAAGCTCTCAATCCCTCTGGCTGAGAATCTGCAGTTACAATCCCATTCACAGCTAGGCAGTCATGGGGCAGAGCCCCCCTACCTGCCTGCCATCCAGCCCCCACTGGGTACTACAAACTCCTGCACATCCGTCAGATTGCAACTCAAATACTGCTTCCATTCCCCAGGGCAGATGCCCTCATCTCCTAATCAAGGCAAGTTACCCACCGGTCTTCTGTTTCACCAGGGATCTTGCTGTCACAGCACTTATCACAGTTACCAATATTGTATTTACCTATAATTTATCTATAATTGATTATAGATAAATATAGTATTAAATATACACATCTGTGTGATTATCTGATTAAGGTTCATCTTTCCCTTGAGGGCACAGCATGTCTGTTTGGCTTACAGTGTAATAGGTACTCAAAAGGCACTTGAAGAAACACGATCCTCTGAGCCTCTCTCTTCATCTGTACAATGATGGTAACAACAACACCACTAGAGTGTCAAACGACTTAAATGAAACAATGAATATAAAGCATGGGGAACTGTGTATGACCTCAAAAAACTTTCCAAATATTATATTTGAATTATTTTTTTCTTACGTTTCTTCCCACTGTATTAAGTTTTTCCAATGCCTTGTAAAATGCTTAACACATATTTAGCGTTAATGAATAAATGAACACTTTGACATACATGATGCCATATTATTCACAATACAATCCTCTAAGGTGGGCACCACAGGGCTTACTATTTCTAATACTGAGGTTCAGAAATGTTTATATGGGTGTTACATAGTTCTTAAATGATAGGGTGGATTTCCCAATTATTAATCCATTTATTTCTATTACTTCTAGAAAAAGGAAGAAAACATAAAGTTAAAACCAGTAAATTATAAATACTCATGTTCAAAAGCATATTTAAAATACATGAAGTAGGCCAATTTAGTATAAAAATACTTAATCAAGGTTTGGTCAATAACACTTTTATACTTGAATATTAAATAAGAGGGCA